TTGTCCACGACTACCTTATAATATATACCTTATGAATGAGTTTTCTAAAACAAAATGGTAGTCATTTTTCACGGAGTGAATAATAGCGGTGTATAATAATCATTATTCACGTGTAGCCATCTTGACCAGACTAATAATAATTATTTGAAACGTCAAAATTTCAAAAAACGTCAATTTAATTCAACTTTTTAAGACTTTCTAAAGGTTTGACATTAAAAAAACCTAAACAAATTCTTTTTTTCGTATGATTTAAGCATAAATTAATTAATTTTCATAAAGAAAACGACGTTTCATAAAATTGACATTTAATTTTGACAAATTGTTGTGAAGTTGGTTACAGTTGGTAACATTGAATTTGCGTCACTTTGACGTTTAACCTTTATCAAAAATTTATTTAAAAAATTAATTCATGGAATCAATTTCAATAGTCGTGAACAAAGTATAGTATTCTACTCGCATATAATGAGCTATTATTCACTCAGATTAATTATGCCACTCGCTACACTCGTGACATAAACTTAACCTTCGTGAATGATAACCCTCATTATATGCTCATATAATAATATACTACTGTCCACGAATACCTTATAATACAGGGTGTACAAGAAGTATGGAATAATGGTTCTACAGCCTAAACTTCAACTTATATTAAAGAAAGTTTTAAATAAAAGTTACTTGAAACTATTTTCCACATATCTTGGCATAGAAACAAAATAAAATCTTGACGGCAGTCTGAGTTACGACATGGTGAGTGTGTTTTTTAAATGGAACACCTGTATATTTTAAGGTTTTTGGATTCTTTTTGACAAGGTGTTGCAAAATGCTATAAGGTTTTAATGCTTTAAACTGTATAGTTTTCGAGATATTGAAACTTTTATTTAAAAAGATTTGACGTAGTGACAACCAAATTATGGTGTCATTATGGAATAGACAACCTAAGCCTTGACGTCATACTGATGGGCGGAGCTTATACCGACTCCAAACATCTTCGTTGCTAACGATAAATCTCCATATTCAATTTTTCAATTAGTGTTAAAATAACATAAAGTAAGTGATATTTTAGATGACATTTTTATGGCGATTTATCTTAGCAACTGTGGTTAGCAACGAAGATCTTTAGAGTTGGTATAAACTCCGCCCATCCCTGTGATGTCATGGCTTAGGTTGTCTATTCCATAATGACGTCATAATTTGGTTGTCGCTACGTCAAACCTTTTTAAACAAAAGTTTGAATATCTCGAAAACAATGCAGTTTAAAGCATTAAAACATTATGGTATTCTGCAACACCTTGTCAAAAGGAATCCAAAAACCTTAAAATATACAGGAAAATAGTGTCAAGTAACTTTTTTTAATGTAAGTTTAAGTTTAGGTTGTAGAACCGTTATTCCATACTTTTTGTACACCCTGTATAATATACCTTATGAATGAGTTTTCTAAAACAAAAGGGTAGTCATTTTTCACGGAGTGAATAATAAATCATTATTCACGTGTAGCCATCTTGACCAGACTAATAATAATTATTTGAAACGTCAAAATTTCAAAAAACGTCAATTTAATTCAACTTTTTAAGACTTTCTAAAGGTTTGACATTAAAAAAACCTAAACAAATTCTTTTTTTCGTATGATTTAAGCATAAATGAATTAATTTTCATAAAGAAAACGACGTTTCATAAAATTGACATTTAATTTTGACAAATTGTTGTGAAGTTGGTTACAGTTGGTAACATTGAATTTGTGTCACATTGACGTTTATCCTTTATTCAAAAATTTATTTAAAAAATTAATTTATGGAATCAATTTCAAAAGTCGTGGACAAAGTATAGTATTCTAATCGCATATAATGAGCTATTATTTCTTATTTTTATTATTGCAGAAGGATAACAATTACCAACCGTATTCATTGGAACAAGTTCGCCACATCGGTTACCAACTTTGCTTCGCCGTTCGATTCCTGCACGATAACAAATTAACACACACCGATCTTAAACCTGAAAATATTTTATTTGTAGACTCCGATTATGAAGTAATCCATAATAGTAGAAAGGTATATTTATTAATTTTATTAATTAATTAGTTAAAAAAAAATTAAAATGTTTTTGTGTTATTTAGAGGAAAGATGTGAAACGAGTAAAACGCACTGATGTAAGATTAATCGATTTTGGAAGTGCAACTTTTGATCATGAGCATCATAGCACAATAGTTTCTACACGGCACTATAGGGCTCCAGAAGTTATATTAGGTAATAATAATTAATTTTATATTATTCGAAATAATTAATTTTTTATAAGGATAATTTTGCAAGGAAATAACACTCCTCGTGGATTAATTATGTTTACTCAAACATGTTTAATCGACGTTTGTTTAACCACCCTAAGACTCAAATCCTAAACACAATGAATAATTTAATACATTGAGCTATTGCATTGACTGATAAACCATTCAGAAAAGAAATAAAAATAAACCCTCAAGCTGTAACTCTGTCATTTAGATTCCGATTTTCATGAGCGAGGTTTCAAATGAAAATAAGGAGATTTTTTTCTGAACCCATTGCTGTACAATACATTATAACATTAATTGTAATTGTAGTAGAGAAAAACATTAAAATAGTTTCCTAACATTTTCTTAAAGTCACTTGTATTATACTGTAGTGTGCCATGCGAAAAAATAAGCATTTACAACTGCTTTAGGTATTGAAATATCATTTTGTGTATTTATATGATTTATAAATGTATACAAAATCATAGAAAATAGCTTCGTCGAAATGCAACTCTCTAAACAAAAACTTCGTACTAAAAATTGAACGCATGTGGCGCCATCTGTTGGGGATATTTTGAAATTATTCAGCTAAGAACCGAACCACTAGAATATAGGTTGGATTGGGTTTATATATAAAAGCTCCAACCACAGAACAACTATTTCGAAAATGTTTAGAGCCACTATGTGGCTCCAAACAATGGTAATTTAATCATACCATTATTACTTTATTATACTCTTACCGAAAAATCACTTTAAAATGACGTTTTCATGTCATTCTGAGCAAACGTCAATTTTCAAAATTCTTAGCGGCAAATTTAAAAAATATAACGAATTGGAATCTATACTTTTTAAATTAAAAGAATGATACTGGTAATAATTGTTATTGCTGTGTCATCATTCCCACTATTAATAATAAAATTGTTAGTTTAATTAAGTTATTTCAGTGTAGACGCTAATGCCATCTTACGGTGGGATTTCGACATACAATCAGTCCCAAGTTCTCCCATCAAATATCTCTGGGGCTGTACAAAATCATTCATTAATTATAATAAACGATTTTAATGTGTCAAAAGTTAAAACTTATTATTGTAGTCTTACCGAATACATATAGTGGTCGGTTGGGTCGGTATTACAGATTTCATTCGAGAATATTTACTAAATTGACTACTATATTAGTTCGGTCGGACTTTCTTAAAGTTTGCCAGTGACAATTATCTCAAAAATTAACGCATTAAGATATCTCGATAATTAATACACTTGTTGGTTAAATAATTATTAATGAAACGTCAAAAATGTCACTTTAAAACCCATAGGAGACAGCGCCACCTGTTGAAAAAAGTGCCGTTTGTAACTATCTTCTCATTACGTCAAATATTTTAACCTAATTTAGAACCACGATAAACACGAATTGCTATTTGATTTTCTTTATAACGTAAAACGTGTACGCGTGACTAAAACGAGCCTCTATGTCGCAAATTTCTTTTTAATTTTATTTCCAAAACATAGTGAGTTAAATAAATTTTTTAATGAAACGTCAAAAAAATGTCATTTGAAAAAGTGAGGTTAGGTTGTGTTGGAAAAGTGTGATAAAAAATCTTCAACATCATTTTCCAGCACAGCTTTAAACTAACACGGCCGTTTTCGAAGACATCGGCCGCACTCGGTCATCGCGGACGTTAACATTGAAAACTTTGAGTTGGATCTTTACTCGTATTTGTGAAAACGAACATTTCGTGTTCTCGGGGGCGGCCGATGTCTTCGAAAACGGCCGTGTTATCTTAAAACTGTACTGGGAAATGTGTTATTTTTGTTTATCTATCTCTTGGACCAAATCTTACTTTTCTAATTAAATCTAACCTTACTTTTCCAAGTGACATTTTTTGACGTTTCATTAAAAAAAATTATTTTACTCACTTAGTGCGTCCTCGAAGATTTTCTTTCATATTAACGATACATAAGAAGCAATCACGCTTGAAACAGCCACAAAAAGTAAACTAACAAAATACGACATAACCATTCAACCCAACCTAACCTCACTTTTTCAAGTGTCATTTTTCACAACTGTTACTGCCAATGGAATAAGAAATAAAACTAAAACTAGAAATTTTAGGGTTATGCCGTGCGTCAAAGACTAAATTTCACTTTAAAAATGTCACTTTAAAACGCATAAGAGATAGCGCCACCTGTTGAAAAAAGCCTTAAAATATACGTTTGTAACTATCTTCTCATTACGTCAAATATTTTAACCCAATTTAGAACCACGATAAACACGAATTGTTATTTGATTTTCTTTATAACGTAAAACGTGTACGAGTGACTAAAACGAGCCTGTATGACGCAAATTTCTTTTTAATTTGATTTCCAAAACTGAGTGAGTCAAATAATTTTTTTAATGAAACGTCAAAAAAATGTCATTTGAAAAAGTGAGGTTAGGTTGTGTTGTAAAATTGTGATTAAAAATGCTCAACATAATTTTCTAGCTGATGTTATAAAGTGCAGAATTACGATATTTTAAATTTTTTATCTGATTATTATTGTTCTTTTAGATTTATATTAAAATCCTGATGATGCGAAATTATCCTTATAATAAAGACAAATGTTCGTAATTAAAATCATAATTAATTTTTGTTATTATATATAGAATTGGGTTGGGCTCAGCCATGTGATGTTTGGTCAATCGGTTGTATTTTATTCGAATTGTACTTAGGAATAACTCTGTTTCAAACGCACGATAACCGAGAACATTTGGCAATGATGCAAAGGATTTTGGGGGAAATCCCGGTGAGAATGGCTCGAAAAACCAAAACGAAATATTTTTACCGCGGCAAATTAGAGTGGGATGAAAAGAGTTCCGCTGGTCGTTATGTCAAAGATAATTGTAAACCTTTATCGGTAAGTATAAAAAAGCTCAACTTAAATTGTAATTAATGTTTTTATTTTTTTATAAAATAGAGATATAAACAAGTTGATAGCAACGATCACGAACAACTTTTCGATTTAATCTATAAAATGTTAGAATACGAGCCATCTCAAAGGATAACTTTAAAAGAAGCTTTGGTTCATCCGTTCTTCGCAAAGATACCGTCGCATCAAAGGTTAGGGGAGCAAGGGGCGGGCGATATGTTGCGAGATCGGAGCCCATCGATGAGTTGAGCTGATTTTGAAAACGAAACGGAAATAAGAAAGAAAGATAAAGATAAAAAATCGTTTCTATTTCAATTTATTTTTTTCTACTACGCAGATGTTGTATTGTCGGACAATAAGTAAATTCTTCACTGCAGTTTCTTTTTGTTGATGATAATATTAAAACGCCCGGCTAGGTTTTAATTTGGACGCTTTTTTACTGAAAAAAAAAGAATTAATCGTAATTTTTAGTGAAATCATAGGGCAGAAATTTGATTCAAGATGTTTACTCGTCATTTCCATTTAATGAGTTTTTTTTTAATTGATTAAGTTGAAGAATTATTCGTTTATTGTACACGGATAAATTGTTTTTTTTCGATATATGCATAAGATATCGTTATTGTTCAACTTTTTTTTAACGATTAATCAAAACAGTCCATTCTATCTAGGTAAGTTATATCCCCGTCTTGTAAATATTCTTAAATAAAAAATATAGTTTTCAAATAAGTATTATGGTTTTCTTTTGATGGTTTTTTATTAATTATTATTCTCATCCTTAATATTAATCCTGTTTAATAACCTGTATTAGGTTGCAAAGTTTCATTCAACATTAGTTGAATCACCCGGTATAATTTTTTCCTTAGCCGTGTTTCGAACCAACCTCAATTTCAAAATTATTCCGATTAGTTCGGTCATTGAACGACAGATGGCGACATTATTTAAATTACTGATGGTTCGAAACTCGGCTAACAAAAAATTATACCGGGTGATTCAAAAATAAATTAATTTCGAGAAAATTTCAATCCGAACTACAATTTTTATTAGGATCACCCGGTATAATATTTTCCTTAGCCGAGTTTCGAACCAATTAAATTTCGAAATATAGTTCGAGAATTGAAAGATAGATGGCGCTATATCTTAAATTTGTTGGTTTGAAACTTTACTAAATGAAAACGTGTACAGGCGATTCAGAAATTTTAATTATTTTAAATTAAAACACCAACAAACTTGTATTTTCTTTTTTTATTTATTTTTTATAGTCAAAATATAATAATTACAAGTTTATTTTTATATAATGATATGCATGCACATATTTGGACACAAAAACGAACATTTCTTTAGAGGAAATGATCCTAATGACGATATATTCATGAAGAATTACAGGAATAAGAAATGTTGAAACATTAGATTACATAGAAAACACTCACGTTATAATAATATAATCTCCGAGACAATTGTTGGAATTACTTGAAATAGAATTGGCCAGCTTCAAAGTTTTTAGAGCTACAGAAATGGGCAAAATGCGTTTTACCTTTTTAAATAGTATTAAAACTAAAATTTTTAGCGATTTTAACACAGAAAATAATTTTAATACTAAAAAGAAATTAATATTAAAAAAAAATTTATGCAACCCAAATTACAAATACTTAAAAATTACAAAAAACCTTAAATTTTGGGTTTTTCTTACTTCTTTTTAAATATAACAAATTAATTTGTTATATTAAATTAATAATTAAAATATATAATTTAAATTAAAAATTTAAATTTTAAAGGTTAAGTTCATAACAGAAATTAAAATAAATCATTTTTAATATAACCAACCAAAGTCATCCAATTGTATTTTTTTGTTGTCTATAATTATATCGACATAATTAGCAAAATATTACTTTTAATTTGTATTAAAATTAGTTAAAATAAAAATAAATTATATACTTTACATAGAAAATACTTACATTAAGAAGCTTCCAAGACAGTTTTTGGGTATTATTTAGAATGCAATATGTACAGCTTCAACCTTTCTAGAGCTAGCTCCTCTTTATAACATTTCCTCTATTAAAATCCTTTGGCTTTGGCTCCTCCTAGATAACCTCACAATTAGTGATGAATCTAAATAATTGTCCATCCTTTGTGCTGTTTCCCTAGAAGAAATTCAATTTTTACTAAGAAATACGTGTTATCTCTTAAATAGTATTAAAACTAACATTTTAATAATGAAGGCAACTTTAAACAATTAAGTCAAATTTTTAAGGTTATGTTTTTTGTTGGTATTGAAAATTTAAAACTATTGTGTATGCAACCCAAATTACAAATATTTAAAAATTACAAAAAACTTTAATTTTGCATGTTTTCTTACTGTTTTTTAATATAACAAATTAATTTTTATGTACCGAATAAATCATATATTATTAATAATTTAAATTTTACAGGTTAAGTTCATAATGGAAATTAAAATCAATCATTTTTAATGAAACCAACTAAACTTATTTGATTGTATCTTCTTGTTGTCTATATAGACATAATTAACACTACATTAATTTTAATTTGTATTAGAATTAGTTAAAATTTAAATAAATTGTATACTTTACATAAAAAATACTTACGTTAAGTAGTTTCCGAGATAGTTTTTGGGTATTATTTAGAATTCAATGCACAGCTTCAACGTTTCTAGAGCGAGCTCCTTTTCACGACGTTTCTTGTTACTTTTCCTTTATTAATATCCTTTGGCTCCTTCTAGATAACCTCATAATTAATGATGAATCTAGATTATTGTACATCTTTCCTACAGTTTCACTAGAAGAAATCACATTTTGACTATAAAATATGTGTTATCTCTTAAATAATGTTAATACTAATATTTTAAACGATTTTAATAACGAAAACAACTTTAAACAGTTAAGTCAAATTTTTAAGGTTATGTTTTTTGTTTGTATTGAAAATTTAAAAGAATTGTGTATGCAACCCAACTTACAAATATGTAAAAATTACAAAAAACTTTATTTTTTGATTTTTCTTACTTTTTTTAAATATAATAAATTAATTTATATGTACCGAATAAATCATACATTATTAAAACTTTAATTCATAACGGAAATTAAAACGAAATCAACTTACATTAAATAGTTTCCAAGACAATTTTTGGTACTATTTAGAACTCAATATGCACAGTTTCAACGTTTCTAGAGCAAGTTCCTCTTCACCACATTTCTTGTTGCTTTTCCTCTACCAATAACCTTTGGCTCTTTCTAGATAACCTCACAATTAGTGATGACTAATTGTTCATCCTTCATATAGTTTCCCTAGAAGAAATCAAATTTTTACTTCGATATACGTGTACTCGTAAACTATTTTAATAATAAAGACAAACTTTAATATTTAAAAAAAATTGTTCAAGTTAAATTTTTAAGGTTATGTTTTTGTCTTTGTCTTTCATAAATCTATTACAGAAAACTTTATTGCCATTCTTTATTAATATCCCCATCGAATAACAGATGTCACAACCAATTTCAATTTACAATTTATCTAATAGTTTATTGCTAATATAACACTAATTGCTTTTACTACTACTTTGACACAATAAACAAAAAGGTTTGTTATCAAAAATTCCAAATATTAATCAATAAAAAACAATTAACGGGGACTAGATTTTTATTATTCATAATAAGAAACAACAAACTATTATAGAAACACCTAAGAGCCATTTAGACCAACTTTTAAATAAATTAACTCTAAACCTCACTTAAATTAAAAATCAATTTATAAAAGAGTCGCTAAAAATAGCTCCAAGTCACAAAATAAAAACGACGATAAAATAGATTCACCGGGACATTTTTTCGAGCGTTATTACAAATAAATCATTCGTGTTAAAAGAAGGCACGTATTTTTGGCGCGATTTCTTCAAGGCACATAAATTCCGACTTCTGGAATGTAGTTCTATCATATTTTTCTCGCTCTTAAAAGATTTAACCTTTTATTTATTTATACATTAAATGCTCGGTGCCTTTTTTAATTCTCCTCTTCCCGATTAAATTACATTATTAAAATTGTATTCGATACTTGCTAACGTTTGAATCCGTAGAAGACTTACTATCCCTCCCCAAAGAAGATCCCCTTCTCACACTCCCATACATTTTGACTTTTGACGGGGGTGGTAAAGAACTTGCGGAGTTATCGCTTAATGTTGAGCCCGAATCTCGTTCCCCGGCGCTTCCTATTCTTGTTCTTGGAGATGAGGAGGATGGTTTTCGTAATGATGAGCTTGATCCTCCGCTTTCTGATAATCTCCCGTATTCTCCTAATTTCCTTGGGGGTGGGATTAAAGATCTGGCGGGAGATCCTCTTCTACTGCTTGTGTTTGAACTTAACGAATCGCCTCCATCCGATTTTTTTCTTGGGGGAAGAGGAGCCTCGTTATCAGGCAACCGATTATAATCACCAACGAATCGTCTTGGTAAACCGCTGCGATGACCGCCCGAAGTTCTCGGGGGTCTTGGTAAACTACTGGGGGGTAAATCGGAATTATTGGCGGAGGGGCCCTCCTGATGGTGCTGCTGTTGACCCCCGTTATCTTGCATGCGTTGTTGCTGTGATGTCCGACCTTGTTTCTCCAAAAGGAGCATTTCACCGGATTCGTGTCGCGATTGCGGAGGCAACAGCAAGGCCCCCGATGTTGATTCGAAAAGGGCCCCGCCGCCTGCACCGTTCACACCCGCCAATAATGGTTTGGGTATTTTTCCTTTTCTCTGCGCAGCGACTGGATTAGCGAATCCTGGAAAACAGCAAAGACCCCGCTGAAAAAGAGGAAAGACGAAAGAGAGCTATTTTTGGGACGTGTCCAGGACCTGCGTAAATAAGATTCACCACAACTTGGCGAATCACAACCAAGAGGTTAGTTTTTTTGACACACCCAGACAATAACAGGGGATTTAGGGATTGTTAAAAAGGGATGTATAAAAGGATTAGTTGTAACATAGACGACAAAGATGTTTAAGCAATGTTTAAAAAAGAAAAAAAAACAATTAACAAAACCAAAATTGCGTTTTTAATGGTTTTATTAAGTGCATGCTTATACACAAAAAAATACATGCATTCTTAAATTAATTAAAATTTTAAAAAAACAACGTAAGAACTTGGTAGGGGTTGAATTTAATTAATTAATTAATAAATAATTTTTTTTTGTAAGAAAAAGAAAAACAATTTTCTAAATTACCACACTAAAAACTTAAAAAGAAGGAAAACCGACTCACTTTGACTGCTTTAACTTATTTTTTTTTAACACTGAAATAACTTTTTTAACATCCAAAGAAATTTAAAAATCTTTTTTGCAATTTACATTAAATTAAAATAATTTCTCCATATAAAACAGTCATTAATAAAACGTTTCGGTTTCGCTTACCTTGCTTAAAAGTTGCGAATCAAGCTGACTATCAATCTCTTTCAATTGACTATCCAATGATTGTTTCGTCGAATCGAAACTTTTCGTTGATTCGTATTTGTACGATGGCATGTGATGGTACGACGAGTCGCTTCCTGCGTACGAATTCGAACCGAAACCAGTTGAACTCGTCAGAACACTACTCACTAGAAATTTGGTTTCATTTAATTAGGTTTTAAAATTGAAGTTAATTACATTAATTTACCTAATTCTTCCCTTGAAACGGAAGTACCTAACATGTGATCGATATCGGTTCCTCCTAAACTAGGATGCGGAGTGTGATGTGGAGATCTTCCTAACATACTCGAAACGTCTTTGTCGTAGGTGTGTTTTTGAAGGACTTTTATCATTGCATCTCGTTCGGCTAATTTTGATTCTAAGTCTTTGAGTCTACAAAAAGAACATGTAAAAACTTGTAATTTAATATGAAATATACAAAGTGATAGGTTGAGATAAAGTCCCTAGATTATCAAAGTACCAGGGTATGATTTCTTGATAGGTATAAAATAAAGACGGAATTTTATTTACTATAACAATCCACTAGATAGCGCTGCCATACACAATTTGCAATGTAATTATTTATATACCGGGTGTAACAGGATCATGGTACACCCCCCGTATGTCCTTTAGTTTTGAAGATAATTGATTCAAATTTGGGACATCCTATACACATGATAAAAAATAAGCTCTAAGATAACCTCCTGGAGGGTATCCTCTGAACCGTCGTGTTCAGATCATAGACATATTCAATTTAAAATTGATCTAGGGATGAAATCGGACTGTACGTACCGTAATCCCCGTAGCACTAATTGGGATCTGTTTAAGAGTTGCCTAACTAGTGTTATCGCAACCGTTAGGAACTGTGATCAGGTTGAAATAGCCACGGAGCAGATCTCTGTGGCAATTCGCTCTGCATATCACAGTAGCAGTCCACTGAAGGTGAAAAGTAGTAATCGGGGCACACCCTTGTGGAACGAATCTCTTAGCTCCGAAAGACAAGAGGTCCGAAAACTTTTCAACCAAGACATTAGGTGAATGGGAGAAATATAAACAGGCTCTAACGAATTACACCAAAAACATACGTAAGGCAAAAAGAGAGTCTTGGAGGAAGTTCTGTGAGGGAAAGACACACCCAGCAGTGCAAGAATTTACAAGATTCTCGCTAGAGATCCGGTTCACTTAGGCGGCCTGACGGTAGTTTTACGGACTCTAGCAGAGCCTCGTTGGAGCTTCTAATGCAGACTCACTTCCCAGGAAGCCTGATGATGAGGGCCGATAATGCCACAGCGGGCTATTCCTGCGCCCCTCAAATACGGATTGGAGTGTGGCTAGAAAAGTCGTCACTTACACATCCGTGGACCAGGCAATTCAAACGTTTAAGCCGTTCAGACCGCCTGGAGAAGACAATATCTTTCCTGCTTTGTTACAACAAGGGAGGTCTTTGTTGTTGCCAATTTTGGTAAAAATTTTCCGAGCGAGTGTCGCCTGGAAAGATGTGCCGGCAGAATGGACTAAGGTACGGGTATCTTACATACCCAAAGCGGGCCGTTCGGTCCCTACCTCTAATGCCTTTCGACCCATCAGCCTAACGTCATTTCTGCTGAAAACCCTTGAAAAAGTTCTGGAACGGTATATCCGTACGGTGCCATTGGTATCTGGTCCACTGAGTCACCACCAGTATGCTTATCAAGCGGGAAAATCAGCAGAATTGGCTCTCTCAGGATAAAGAAATCTTGGTTTGTGCGTTTCTGGATATAGAGCAATCTCCCCACAATCTCTTGAAAGAGCTGCTCTTGACAGGGGATTGGAAGCAACTATAGCGGGTTGGATCCGCAATATGCTTGATAGTAGAATAGTTTCTACTTCACTCCACGGTGATACGATACGCTTCAGGCCGGGAGGTGGCTGCCCGCAGGGAGGGGTGTTATCTCCCCTGCTTTGGTCCCTCCTAGTTGACGATCTGATTCCGATAGTCGAAGCCGTTGGTGTGGAAATACAAGCTTATGCTGATGACATTGTCGTTATGGTCAAAGGAACCTGTTTGCCGAGGATATCTAAAGTCCTCCAGGTGACCCTNTTCCTAGATGTGTTGGTCACCAGGACGACAAATGGAGATATAGAACTTGGTGTATACCGAAAGAAGACTCATACCAACAGGTATTTACAGGCATGTTCACATCATCATCCCCAACAGAAGAGGTCCGTGATCCGTACATTATTTCAGCGAGCAGCGAGACTATGTGAAGGAGAGAACTTGAAGAAGGAGTAACACTTTCTACGAGGCGTGCTGCAGGAGAATGGATACACTTCGAGGGACATCAACCAGGCCATCAAGCAGCGAAAGCAGAACGGTAAGTACGGTAAGTACAAAACCACTTGGATTTATCTGTCTTCCCTATGTTTCAGGTGTAACGGAACGAATTGCTAGGCACCTCAAGAAGAACTGTGGGAAGGTTTATGTTGGCCAAACTGGTCGCAACGTCGAGTAGAACTCGTTATGATCTCGTCACTTCGAACCAGTTTCTGAAGAAGGTTGCAACATGGCATCCGAAACGTCAAACCTTTTATTAAAAGACGCACGGCAAAACCCGAAAGTTTCTAGTGTTAGTTCTAGTTTTAGTTCTAATTTTAGTTTAAACCACTTGTTGTCTTCAGGTTGCAGAACCATACCTGCTTGCATTCGATCTAGATCATGATCACGAAGTTGTGGAAAAACTGATATGGATAAGGTTGATCGTTATGTACAAAAAGTTGATTTCTATGATGAACAGCGAAGTTAACAAATTGTTGTCTCCAGGATTCTAAGCTTGGCATGACGCTTAGAACATCGTTTTTGATGGTGTCCTCACGCTTAGTAATAAAGGTGTCTGTCTTGTTACCTATGCTAGATAATATCGTTCAAGTATCCGGTATTGGGCCATTTTCTAAAATCTGGCTTTGACCAGATATTAAAAACCTGCAGATAATAATCATCAATTGTTCAATTGTTGCTCGAGCTTTTTTATCTGTAAGGTCCCACATATCATCTTTTGTAGTTGGTGGTTCATTTGTCACAATTTCCCAAAGATTTTCCCGAATTAACATCTCAACTCGAAATTTCCATGCTGATAATTGTTGTTAGATAATTAGGGATGCAACATCGCTCATAAAAACATCGATGTTTTCCAAAAGTGAAACATCGACGTATTATACCGATACATCGATGTTTAAAAAAAATAGTCAGTGGCTGAATTTTTATTATAAGAATTATCATAATAATCAATAATATTTGGACCGCGTCCTGCATCACTTGACTAAGCGACAAATAATAATAATAATAACTTTATTATCATAAATTTAATCACTAAAACTAGACACAAAATGACGATTTGTGTAAAAATTTTTGAAGAAAATAATCTAGAGTTTGATTTTGTACTTTTAAACTGGTTTTTATTTTATATAGAATTTAAGTCTAACCAGTTTCGGCCCTTGGCCATCTTCAGAGACTTTACAAATAGATTAACATCTCTCATCTTATCCATTTTACAAACAAGTTTCTTAATATTTCTTTTTGTTTTGTTAAAAAAGATCACATATCAATGTCGAAATCAGATTATTAGTTACTAATTTACAAAATTAAAGTTTAAAATGATGTAAAATGAAATTAAGGACGAAGTGTTACAAGTTAACAAAAGAAATATTAAGAGACTTTAAAGAGAAAGCTTTGAACTTTAATTTAGAACAAGTCTCATTCCTTAATTTCAATAAATACGGCTCCCAGGAATTTTTAAATTAGTATCTTTTTTGACATTTTTAGGTTATACGAAAATGTAAGTTTTGTTTCAACATTTTTTTTCTCAATATTTTTCCAATCCAACCCAACAATTATTATACACCATTTTAAAGAGAAAGCTTTGAGCTTTAATTTAGAACAACTCTTATTCCTTAATTTCAATAAATACGTGATTGGCGCTTAGCTTTATCCTTTAGAACAAATAGTATTTTAGGTCTTTCGGTATTCTGCATTTTTTGTAAGATGTTACACCTTTACTTACCAGACAGCATGAAAATCTCTAAAAACGATAAAATGTCGATTAGTCAAGTGATGTATAACGCGGTCCATTTATTATAATATGATAAAACACATAGATAATGTTATTTAAATTTATTTTTAAGTATAGAATTCAAAAACCTTAACTTTGACAACCTGGTGCCTAATAAGCGATTCCTTTCCTGATTAATTGTTGCGCCAACTTCTCTGAATAATCGTTCGTTAGACACTGAAGTTACTAACAGTGGCAAATATTTCATTGCTCTTTTATACAAACATGGTAATAATGGTCGATTATTTTATCATTCATAATGAACTTCAACATCGCTATTAAAACATCGATGTTTATGGACTCCCTATAGATAATCCGCTTTCCATCTTGATATCTTTCTGTTATATCTCCTTATTATATATTATATGATATGAGTATTTCAATCTAATTTAATTAAAAAGTTATTTAAATCCTCTCTAAGTTAATTTATTCAACAAAGCATTCTGTAATTCCCGTTTTTGTGTTTCCAATTAACGTTTAATTTTTTTTTGTTCGTTTACGAAGACATGTTGAAATGATTACCGATCGACGTCCGAAAGGTAAGTCATTTACTCGGCTACCATTTCATCGTGGCCGGCGTGTCGAATCTTCAAAGTGAACCTGCGGTCGCGGCTCCTTTCTGCAAAAAGACGCTAGAATGCGACTGCTTACCACCCCGGCCACTAAATACGTTTTAAACTGCACCGTAAAGACTTCTTCGGGCTAAGGTCACTTCAACAACATTACGAAAACGCAATCTATCAACAGTTTTTTTTAAAACTATGTTTTCCCAAGATGTGCAGAAAAGAAAATTCGCTTTTTCTTTTGATTGCGTTGACGTGAAAGCTAATGCAATCTTCTTGCATAATTAGATATTAATGTTGTTTACAAGACGGTAGGAAACGTTCCTCGTGTTAGCATAGCTGTTCGATGTCAACGGACGTTTATTCCACCATTAATATTGTCATTTAAGATTTATTTGGTTTTGGTATCTTTTGAATTACACATTTTACCAAAAACGGAAATATTCTTTCAAAAGAAATGCAAAAAGTAATAAAGGAAGATGGAGCCCAAAATCGGCGAGTGGCGCCCGGAAGACTCATACCAACGGTATGATCGTAAATTCAATATTTGATTTCCTCTGTTTGGACAGGTCCTTTATTTCTCGCGGCTTCGGTTTTCGAACGACCTCGTCTCCGTTTACGCAAGACACATCTCTTTTCTACCGCACACGATATGTTAAAACGCTTTTTATTAATAAAAAGCACAATTAAAATTAGTTATGTTGTCATAAATTAAACGTCATTCTTTAAGGATACTTGAAGCAAACGTTTTTAACGGCAATGACATAAAACTATTAAGACTTTATGAATTTTGAAATTGCGTTGTTAAACGTTGTCTGTTGTTGGAATGATGCTCAATGATATATTAGCGAAAATATAAATGTTTTTGTTTAAAAGTAACATCTAAGATTATTTTACGATGGTATTTGAGTTCCTACTATAACGTATCTACTCCCTCCTCAAAGTTAACGTAGTTCTGAGTGTAACCATTGATCGGTTAACTATAGAGGAGTCATTCGCGCACAACAATACCTATTGTCGGTTCCCATAATACCCTATCGAAGATAATAACAGGTTTCCTCGCTAAGTAAGATCTTATTTGTTATAGTTGCTCACGACTCGACGTTTGACGTCTTTATTTCCAACTATAAAATATTTTGATACATCTCTATCATTTTCGTTCCTTAAAAAAAATTAAGACAAAGAAGTAAGAATATAGGTGTCTATAATTAATTGGTTTTTTTTCTGTGAGAGTGGGCGTTTTTTCTTTAAAGATCGTTGTATTTGATTTGGATAATTCTTATAAAACACGCCCTATATTTATCCCCGCGTTTCTATTATTACTATTAACAATTCAATTCGTGCCCATCTACATAATGGGCATTGTTTGGGGCAATTTATGTCCGGGTACGACAACGATAATACCCGGTGTTGTCCATTATGCATATAGTCGGCACCTTTTCATGTCTTCTATCCAACAACTAGATACGACAGATCGTAACGTGTGATTACTAAACCAGGTTTTAAATGTCAAAGGATCCTGAATTATAATTTATTATAAACGGGAAACCTTTTAAATTTTGTGCAATTTAAGTATCACCAATTTTGTTTTAGAATTTTATGCATTCTTCCTAAACTCCTCTTCTTTCGTTATCTATGCGAGTTTAATCATTTAAGTGTTGTCACACACTTTACAGATTTATGCATCCATCCACGCAGACGTGTCATCATTGCCATTAATTAGTGATCGAACAGATAGTGATTTTACGAATTTTCTCAAGACATTTCTGAAGTGATTGAGGATCCTTCAAGAAATTAATTTTATAGCGAAATTATCGATGAAAATTGCACATCGAAAATTTGATCAAAACTTCAAATATTGTTTTCTCAAAAACTAAAACTTATTTTTCAAAACGGGTTGGTTCATTGGAAAGAGGACACTCTTATTAACACTTTGGGATATTCCAAGATGTGGATTTGATATCCCAAATTTTAAAATTCGAAAAAATTGTACATTGAGGCGTGTGATAAAATCAAT